CACAACACAAATGAGCCAATCAATATAGCTTTATTTTATTTTTAAATTAGTCTTTTTTTAGTCTGGTCAAGAAGGCACGTTTACATGAACATGCTTTTTCATAGAATTAGGATTTGAAGAAAAACAGTAATGCTGTTTAATTCTTTTAGTTCTATCTGGCCCACTTTTAATATCTTTCATCTTTGATGTTATTGTCTAAATTTGTGATATATCGCACACACAGACCTCTGCTAGTGGTGAATGACCTTACAGTGGGGACGGTTCCAAATTGAAAGGGATTCTACACTGTGGACAGTGGAGAGAAATATCTCTGAGTAGGAAAGTAAAGGTAATTAATATGGAGTTTAGGAAAGTTCAATACACACCACTCTTACTATTAAACTGGATTACAATAATACAGATTATACTTATTGTATTGGGAGATATATCTTATAAGAAAATACAAATGAGTGATATGAATTGTGGAAAGGTCGTTTAGCTTTTCTTTTAGTTTTGATGGAATAATTAACATGTAACATGTGGTCATTTCCCAGGCAGAGCCTGAAAGTCTGTGGTGGGGGGAAAGGAGGTGGCTTGCAAAATCTGCAGACAAGAGATCTGCAGCGTTTGCAGGCTGGTTTTAGATATACCCTTTCATATATATATTTTTTTGTATTATTGGAAGTGGAGTGTCCCTTTAACATTTGTTGATATGTTTTATAGATCAAATTTGTTTAAGATATTTTGCTGCTGTTGTGGCACTAAAGCCTTTCAGTCAATTAATGCACTCTCTCTGTGTCACATGATTACATTCAATAATTATTGTGAGTCATATGAAATATAAATGGTGCAAAACTTAATCTGCAAAGATGCTATTTGGTTTTACTTTAATATTCGATAAATATTTATCAAATGTACAATTAGGAATGTTAGCTCACTTTCTGACACGGTAGTAGTATGTCAGCTACTTGTATGAAGTGTGCCTGCAGCTAGGGTACACCTACTCTGAGATTCATTCAAAGAGTTTTATAAAGAACAATCACATGTACAGTTTCATTCATAAAGCATTTTGAAGGATACCCTCTGAGTAGGTGAGTATGTGTATAGCTGGGAAAGGGGAAGTGCTTCACCTATGTCACTTTGTGGTGCTGAGTGATTCAATGCAAATATTTTTGGAAAATAATAAGAGAAAAATACTTAATTTTATGGGTCATGCGGAGGGGCGATCTAAGGATACCAGCAACCTATTTCTGTGGGGAGTTGTTTTTTTATAATTGTAATTTTTTTGAAAAGCTCATGGGTAAAAAAAAATAATAATAAAAACTGGCACCCATAGTCTCCTTTGCACTATATCTCCTGGGAATGTCCATTTACCAGAGAACTTACATTGTACATTGTCAACTGTACACTGACTTTTTGCCATGTATGACTAAATACCTCAATGCAAACCCACCAGTGTTCGTGCATGGCAGTGTTTATGCAGTTACACTTTAGGTTATATGTTGGGGATTGTGCTTCTTTACCATTATGACTTCAGCTGGACTGCATTTTCCATTTGGTTGGCTGTACATCATGTATGTCCTAACTACCAGAAATTGTCAGTTACTGGTTTAAATTACCTTTAAACCTATAATACTGTTTATGTTGTCTGAGGTATGTAGGATAGTATTCATCAATAGCTGTAGATGCTTAAAATGCATTTTGGTGGTTAACCTACAACTGTAGGGAGAGGCATATCTTTAATGAGCGGAAAGATCATCACTCCTACACACTTTCCTTAGGAAGGAATATGCAGGTGCAGTCCTTAGTGTCAGGAGGAGATGGAGCTCTTGAAAATCCTGTAGCACAGAGCTTTCTTTTATGTAGTACAGCGGTAATACAATTCATTGTTTATAAAAGATGGATGTTTCTTTTCCTGCATTAACAGTCCACATTTTATTTTTATGCTTTATTTTGCACAGTGACTACTAGTCCCCCTAAGACTCTGTACGTCATGTCTGATGCCAAGCTCTCCGCGTTGACAAAGTCTGTGGGCAGTGACCTGGCTTCTCTACCGTTGAAACCAATGACCCTTCAAGGATCCTCTGGTGTTCCTCCTGGAGCTGTGACTTTCACCACCCCATCTCTGACAAACACACCAAATCCGACTTGCACAGTAGTGTTGTCGAAAATTGGTCCCGTTCTGCAAGCCCCTCAGAAAACCGTTATCCTAGCAAAAGCAGAGGCAGGTGAAAAGACATCTGGAAACCATGTGATGGGAGCAGTAGAGAGCCTGGGCAGGGTCCCCTCTGTTATTGATGAGGGTAGCACCATTCTTCACAGCCGTGAGTCCCTTGTCAATAGACAGCTTCTGCAGCCTACCCTAATAGCACTGTCTGGCACAAGCAGCATGCTTCACAATACAGGGACATCTAACAACCAGAAATTACAATGAACCTTGAAATGAAAACTTCCCTGACTGGTAATGTGAGGCCTAAGGCATAACTGTATGGTCAAAAACATCTTTGCGCACTCGATACTGGAGTCTGCTAAAGAAGACTCTTCTGCCAGGAGACGAAACAAGAATGGCAAAAGCAAGAAAATCATTATGCTGTCAATTTTGCATCTGTTCTCCTGACAAATAATAGCCATGAAGGAAGCCTAGGGCAAAGGGTTTTTGCAAACCAAAGTTGTTTACTATTTAAGTAATTTCCAATGCGTATCCTTGCAATACCAGCTTCTATGCAGTGCCTCAAGCAGGTAGTTATTGCCTGCTAATAAAATTCATATTGGAGTCTATTCACAAAAGCATGAGTTTACAATCATCAAGAAGATTGCAGACTAAAATAGATGAGAAAAATCTTCAAATCATCTGGGTTAATTGGTTTTTTTTCCAACCAACTCTGTGGTTTTGTAAGTTTGTTCTCAACTTACCACAACTCACTGTATACCCATTTGTTTCAGGACTGTTTAATACACTGTGTTGGACACTTTCGAAACCATGTTCTTTATTTGTTATGACTAAGTCATAAACTCTACAGCATTCCACTGATTTGAATTACTGTCAGAAGCTCACATGCTTGTGAACTACATGTCCTGTGATGCGTAAATGGAGCACAAGCATGTAAACTGTCATGGACATCCCTTACTGCACGGGGTCAGATCAGTAGATTGCAGTATAGAATATGGCATTCTGTTATTTTGATATACCAGAGCCTTGTACTAAAATAACACTATAGTGTTAGGAATAAAAAACTGTATTCCTAACACTATAGTGTCCTTCTGCGACCCCCCCGCCTCCTCGGCGGCAAATAAAGGGTTAAATAACATTCTTACACTTACCTGATTCCATCTCCAAGGTCCCTCAGTGCTGGCTCTGCTCCTCCACCTCTGACATCAACTGATGGGGGGAGTAAATGCTTTCATATGGGGACTTAGAAGGCACTGGACGTAAGAAATTATGAGGACATCCAGCGTCATTTTACAGAGTCAAACCACGTGAATGTTCTGGAATGCCTCCAAACAGCCACAAGGCTTCTTTGAAACTGTAATGTTTGCAGCTACAGGGCTAAAATGATAGGGGCATTTGACCAATTCAATAAGAAAAAGTAGTCTGGTGCCTTTAGTGTCCATTAAACAAGGCTTGAACTGTATATATTTCCCATCAGCTAAATGACAAGAGCATTTGTCAATCAAAGTTGTATAGAAGGCTGAAGAGCTCTTCTCTCTTCCAGTAAAGCCACTGTTTAAGTTATTTATACAGTATGTAACCAAAGTAGAAAGGTTGTTTTAGACCTATGAGACATTGTCTTATTTTATTTTGTTTTGCTGCTTAAATTAATTTGACAAATGTGAACACTTTTCATTTAACAATCTGATAGTTTCAGTATTTGTTTTGTCTGCAGAAAATATTTTACAAATGTATTTGTATTATAAAAGCCATTTTACAGTAAGGGATTAGATAAAGTTACAGATACATGTAAATCAAGTTACATTTTAACCTTGCTATGTGAGATATCGCCAGGGTCAATTTGTGCGTGTATAACTGTAAATGCATTTGCAAATCTTTGTTTCACTACTACTGTTATGAACTTTCAAGTTTTTGTTTAATTCATTTATCCATCACAATGTTTTTTAAAGAAACACTCTAGGTTGCAAATATTTTTTGTTGTTGGTTACACAAGATTTATTATGCATTAAAAACATTAATTTGAATGATTTAGTCATGAAATTAATTCATAATAACTTAAATGTTACTTTTAGCCAAGTTTAGTTTTGTTTTTTTAATTCAGTTTTCATTTGTTTTCCTCCTCCAACCCAGGATGAGGAGAAAAGTATTCTCATTGAAAATTATAAATGGTCAAAGGCACACTCCACTGCCCAAATACAAAATAAATAAAAATAACTGTTTAGTAGACATACCCCAAATAAAAACTTGTATGTGTATAATAATTCATTTTTCCATTGGGGACTATATAAAAACAGCTTGAAAAAAACCTGCAGATCTCTTATCTTCGGTCTTTGCAAACCCTCCCTTTTTAAAGGACCACCACTCTAGGCACCCAGACTACTTCAGCTTAATGAAGTGGTCTGGGTGCCAGGTCCAGCTAGGGTTAACCCATTTTTTCATAAACATAGCAGTTTCAGAGAAACTGCTATATTTATGAATGGGTTAAGCCTTCCCCCTAATCCTCTAGTGGCTGTCTCATTGACAGCCACTAGAGGCGCTTGCGTGCTTCTCACTGTGATTTTCACAGTGAGAGCACGCCAGCATCCATAGGAAAGCATTATGAATGCTTTCCTATGTGACCGGCTGAATGCGCGCGCAGCTCTTGCCGAGCGTGCGCATTCAGCCCAGGAGGAGGATCGGAGGAGGAGAGCTCCCCGCCCAGCGCTGGAAAAAGGTAAGATTTAACCCATTTCCCCCTTCCAGAGCCGGACGGGAGGGGGACCCTGAGGGTGGGGGTACCCTCGGGGCACTATAGTGCGAGGAAATATGTGTATGTTTTCCTGGCACTATAGTGGTCCTTTAACCACAACAAAACTTTATGTGACTGTCCAATCAGAGGCATTCCAATGCAGCTCAAGGAGAAGTCTTTGCAAGGCAGATGCTTTGAGCAAGTGCTGCCTCTTGAATTTAACTCCACAAAGCTAAACTACCAGGAAGTTACAGAACCTGTTGATTGTCAGCCACGGGGATGTAATATTTTTTTAAAAAGAGGACCCACTCTTCACACATACAGCTTTTCAGCAAGCCTTAGGGGTCTGGAGTGTCCCTTTTACTACATTTTCAAAGGAAATATGTTAAAGGTTACTCCAAAGTTTTTTTAATGCTTCATTTGTTTTAAAGCTGCACTGTCACTTTCTAGGGACTATGCAGATTTTGCAGAGACCCCCAAAGGTGATGTTGCTGCAAATAAAAAGGCTTAACAAATGTCACTGGGAAATCAAGGAAAACTTGCAAACTGCTTCCTTTGTAAATATTGCAGTATCGCTGTACATACAAATAGATTTAGTACAGACCATGACATGGGATTGTTCAAGATCCAAGTAGCATTATTTCTCCAACTCTAACCAGTTTATTCCCTTTTCCTATTAATTAAATTGTATTTATTAATTTATGGCAGTATCTAGTCCTTATCATTGTGGGATTTGTTTTTAAATAATCAATTTTTGTTCTCCCATTTAGCCTTGTTTTTTGTTTTTTTAGTTATACCTAAGAACAAGTAAGGAGCACTTTTTATTGTAAGAGTGTGTTCTTTGGCAATGGGTGGAGCTTTAAGCTAAATTCTAGCTAATTCATCTCATTTACACGCAATCCATTAGTAAAAAGAATACCACAGAAGATTTAACTGCCAACATCATAGATGGGAGGACAAACCTGGATATTGAGATCCAGTACAAGGAATTATAGATAATCTAAAATAAAGGTAAGTGGCATGGTGGGGTGTAATCATTAAAGGAACACTATAGGTACCCAGACCACTTCATGTTAATGAAGTGATCTGAGTGGCATGTGCCATTTTCACCCTGCAGCTGAAAACATTGCCGTTCTTCAGCAACGCTAATGTTTTGATTGCAAGGTTAATCTGCCTCTAGAAGCACGTCTGTAACAGTAGAAGCGTAACACTGACCTCTGTAAGTATAATGTTAAGGTTAAAGTAACAGCCTGACAAGGTTCCCTTTAATTCAGAACCTGGCTACAAACAGAGAACTATTAACCGGTAACAATATCCTTAATATATGTTTTCCTGAGTGTCCTCTCCTAATGTAGGTTGTTATGCAGTTCAGATCATTCAGTACTGTCAGTGACTGAACTGTGTGCATACAGTACCTTTAGGAAGTCTTTTTCTGGAGTGAGGGGGCATGGCTAAAGATGCAGGCCTTTGGTGCAGTATTCTGCAAAACATTTAGTTTATGCAAAAACGATAACGATTTGCGCACACAGCATTTATGAGGTCAAATGCATTGAAGTTGTATTGTTGCGCAGAGTGTCCCTTTAAGTTTGTGATTAGCGTTAAATGCCACTCCCCTCTGCCTCTTGAGGCCATTCTTAGAGTTCTCCATTCAATAATTCCAACCGTACACCTGAAAGATTCAGACTCTTGATGCAATAATACAAGTAATGTATTTTGTCATTAAGAGTGTAAGCAATATTAAACAGAGCTCTTAGCAGTCCTGTTCATGGAAGTCAAATATGTTTGCTTAGATTTACAGTGTTACCTCGGTTTACGAATTTAATGCGTTCTCCGGGTCGTTTCTTATTGCGAAACTTAAACCGAAACGCAGTTTCCCGTAGGAATGCATTGAAAACCAATTAATCCGTTCTGGAGGTCAGAAAAAAGTCTAAATGAGCTGGCATGGAAACCCACCAACAATGCAGAATACACAAATGACGAAGTTCAGCTCCCTACCTTTCCACAGCTTGAGAAATGCACCAAAAAGTCCCAAAACAACTGCAAACAATTTCCAGAATGGCTCCAAAACGCGATGCAAAAGCCGCTCCAACACCTCCACACTCGATGCCAGGTGTAACCCACAGGCTCCACCATGCATAGGGCAGCGCTATAAACCTCCCACGTGCAATGCATCCTGGGTAAACTTGCTTTGTATTGCAAAAAATTTGTAAACCAAGGCATTATTTTCAATGGATTTTCATTTGTAAACCGAAAATTGTTAACCGAGGCGTTTGTAAACCGAGGTCCCACTGTATTTGTATGTCTTGTTTAACCAATGTGTACTGCTGCAGAATATGTTGTTGTTGTTTTAATTCCTGTGGACAAACTAATAATTCCTTTATCACTTTTGCACATTAACCCTTGCATGCACTCTAAGCCTTCAATATGGTGCAAAAAGGCATGGAATCCAGCGATTATAGGTATGTTTAAATCTTCTTTAGCATGGTATGTATTTAAATAAGAAAGAAAAAGTATTTTAAAGAAAAATGTTTGGAGTAACCCTTTAAATATTTCCCAAATGTCATAAAAGAGTTCATCCTCTATTTAAAGGGACACTCCTGATCCCTAAATCACATGCTGAAGTGCCTTATTGTGTAAAGAGTGCATATTCTTTTAATTGGGAGCATATCTATTAATTTTTTTATTTCTCTTGTATTTGGCAGTGGAGTGACCCTTTAAGTCTATGGTTGGCAAGCATGGTTTACTGGAAAACATAGTCCTTTTCTGATGATAAGCACTATCAATATATGGACACACTTTACTCCTGTGGTCAGAATATACCTTTACTTAATTTTTTAATTCTTCACTTAATTTACTTTAGTTATTTTTTTTTTCTTTACTTAATTTTCCAAACAGCTGTATTTCCAGCCTTCTCATAGCCTGGCTGTTGAGCTTTTTCTAGTTTTGTTGTATCTCTGTACATTTATCACACCCATAATTGAGTTCTTTGTAGAATGGCTTGTGATTCTTCCCTTATTTTATTCCATCTACCACACCTCCTTCCACACCACTCTATTCCTTTATTTTTCCTTACATCTATAATTTTAATCATTGTGAGACTTAATATGTATGTTTAGATGACTGGGTTATTCACTTATCTCTGAAATTGACCAAAAACAAATTGTAAGGCCAAATTAGATAAGCTAAAAAAAAAATTAAGATTTATCTATTTAGTACATTTCAGTATTTTGGCCTAAAATGTACAATTCCCCGGTGAATTGCCAGCAATAAAAACTTGAATTAAAATGTGAATTATTTTCTAGCCCTGTATGTTTACATACTCAAAGTGAAACTATTCTGTGTTGGAATACAGTACTTTTATCAGCAGTTTATTATTGTTTGATAACACTAAATTATAGATAAAACAGGAAAGGGAAAAATGCAAAACATAAGTGTAGCGGTTTGGAACATTTTCTGATAACACGGCTTCTAATGTTTTTCAATCAGTTTTATTATTAACTGAAATGAAATTTTCAGAGCATTCTGCTTATTTCTGCTATTTACTCACATGAAAAGTTATGATCCTGTTTGTTTGTTTTTCTGGGTAGTGTTTCTTTTTAGCCAGATGAGTATCAAATCTCTGGTCAACCCAAGCCAACTCTAATTTGACATGCATGTCCAATACAAATACCCATGCGACCTCTTGTTAGGTAATACTAGCCCTTCAAAACAACATGCTAGATTTAGCATATCTGCATGTTACATGTTAATTTACATTTATCTTATTTCGTACTAATTGTGTTTACCACTGTGGCATCAGCTATTGGTGAAGACAGAATAAGGAGTGGAGTGAGAGATCCACCTACACATAGATGGGACCCACTCCACTAAGGGGGGGAATACCGATCCCCGACGAAATGCGCGTTTAGCGAGTTTCTTGCCGATGCACTACTTTTGTTTTTTTTAACAATCTGACCGCACTTGGGGGGGTTGTTTTTTTCTGGGTAGACATGGCTCTGAGGTGTCTCTATGATCAACTGTAGATTGTTAGTTTGAGAACCATCAGGCAGGCTGCCTCGAAGCAGCAGTTATTAGCTGTGTGTGTCGATGGAATTTACAGTATCTGGCTGCACCTCTAGGCAGTACGATTTTCCAACAAAGTTAGCAACAGCCTTTGAACTGTGCAAACAGTTAGTGTTTTTGCCTCAGGTTGCACCATTAGGCATTTCTTCTGCATATCGTGTTAGCAGTAGTTTTCTTAGCTGTATGCATAGACTGTGTTCATAGTCTCCAACTACACTAGTAGGCAGCAACCTTGTATGCTGAGATAGCAGTATCTCTTAGAGACAGCATATAAGATTTTTGACAATACTACTATCCAGCTACCTGTTATACCGAGTCAGGATAAGTAATGAGAGTTAACCAGGATCTAGATTAACTCCAACACTAGTCAAGGATCATTGACTGATTACACTCATCTATCTACCCTGCCTTTCTTTTTTTCAGTTGTTTCCAACTTAGAAGTGTTGCTCCTATTTACTTTCTATAGAGCATAAACGTCTACAATGTGTACCTATGCTTGTATCCTTCACTATTGAGTTGATATAAATTTACCTCCTAGTGCCCTTCACTCGTTACTGCCTTTGATTTTTATGGGTTTTTTTGTACTATCTCCTAATGTTTGGGCCTGACTAGTCAGTATATACCTGCATGAGAGGTTTCTCCTTATATTCTGATCCCATCTAGGATACAGATCACGTTTATACGAGTAACCTCTGCACATGCATATGGAGTCTCCCCACCCGCCCCCAGCTTTTAAAGGTGTGCCACTATTTTGTTTAATTTAAACACCGTAGGTTTGCACAATTTCTGTATTTATTATATACTTATATTTATTTTTGTATTTGGCTCTTTAATAAAGGTTAATACCACTAAATGATATTTCAACTTCAGGAGGTTATCTTAGTGGAGTGGGTCCCATCTACTTGTAGGTGGAGCCCTCACTCCACTCCTTATTCTGTTCAATTAGTGTTTCTGGGGTTTATGCCCTTCATTACCTCCGTAACCTACTTTGTGGCAACAGTGTAGGTTTGTCCTACATCTGTAGCCCTATCTTCTGCTTTATTGGTGAAGACAACAAATGTTATGTCCTGACAGCTTAAGAAAGATAGTTGCATTCTCATAATCTACTCCATAATTTAACCTTTCAAGCCTGATGTAAGAAATTTGTTGTTGTTTTTCTCCTCTGCGTCCACTTTTTTGCCACATACAAATTAGCAAATGACGAGTGATACTTTTAATCAACTTTCAATGCACTGCTGTTTCTTCAGGATCAGGTGGATGGACACAATTCTTGTT